AATAGAACACTATATTAAAACACTGATAAAACACTGTAAACATCCAAAAATCAACACAACAACATTTAAATTAAAATAGTGTACGTAATGAACGTAGAATATAAATCAATATCCATAGACTGTTTTTTTTTAATTCTACTAGAGGATAGAAAATTTCGTATTGATTCTATAATGCCAAACTTCTTCATAGAAAAGTGGTCTCTAAATATAAGTTTTTATGGGTTAAAATGGGTAATGGGGGGGGGGCGGTTATATTTTACCGCTTTAATTTTGACAGAATATCGAAGCGGTCAAATTTGGACGCTTGGTGTTTGAGAGCTTAAGACACATTTTAATTGTCGAGACATTTCATTTCAGTCCTCAGGGTTGACAACGCGTCGGCATTTTAGGTGTTATTCCCAAATAGATGGAGATACTGGCCAGTAGATATCTAAAAGCCACAGCATTCATCCTAAGCTTTAGTGGGGACGAAAGGGTCCCCATACACCTAAACTAGCAAGCAGACTAAGTTCTGCAGCTATTATATATATATGTATGTATATATATATATATATATATATATATATATATATATATATATATATATATATATATATATATATATATAGCTATATGCTGTAAAAAAGATATATAGAGATCTCACTAGTGTCGAGACTGCTACATTATTTTATTTCAGTTACCTCCCATAAAATCCCATATGATATTACTTAGAAACTATTTATGTTTTTCGAAAGAGTACCGAGTACCGAGAGAGTCTCTAAGAGAAATTTTTAAAGAAATAAATATATTAACTTTGGCCACTCAATATGTTTACGAAAACTTAAAATATGTTCACAAAAACAAAGGTAGTTTTAGTAAAATAAGTGATATACACTATGTAAACACTAGGAACAAACACACAAGCTAGTGATACCAGTTTCTCGACTCCACAGAGTCAGTAGGTAATTCATTCTTGGGCCAATATGTACGCTATTACAACAAAGTCCCATAAAATATACAAGGTCTCTCTATTACCAAGTTTAAGCTTTTAATTAAATAAAAACTGTATAAAAAAGGTTACTATAGTATATAAATGAATACATGGTTGATAATAAACCCTGGGAATGAGTGGAGGATGCGTAGGTGGGTAGTCGCTTCCAAGCCGTTTCTAAAATAAGTTTTGTAAATATTTTGTAACCATTCACATTGTAAAATTTATTTAAAAAAAAGTTACGCCTGGTTTTTTGCTGGTTCTTACCAGGTCAGAGTTAAATAAAAGTAAAAAAAAATGACTTTCAATAAGAATTATATGTAATCCATTTTGTTAAAAATTTATTCTATTCTATTCATCAGGTGTTCATGTGCTCAAAACATGTACACAGTTTTCGCATACTTGACTAATAATATATAATAGCTTTATTAAAGCTGTTAGAATTATAAGTGTAGTTATAGTAGTACCTTTATAGTAATTGCAATTAATAATTGCTGCAATTATTATAATATGTAAAATAAAATCACACTTCGCAGAGGTGTTATTAAACATAACATATTTATGATTAATAAAATATAACCTGCACAAACCGAAGGAGACATCTTTACATGATCATTAAACTTTATTAAATGAATTAATGGTAAGTGGAACTATTAATTTTAAATTTAATTTGAATTGTACTCAATAAAATCTGTAAAATAAGTTTTATTCCATATAATCCATTGATTAATGATGATGATGTTAATTCATCATTACCATTCATCAATGGGTCATTCATTAATTGTCCTTTTAACTGATGTGTAATTAATTAAATCATTCATAACATGTTTTCAACAGTCAACTACAGTTCAAGAACCCTTCCGCATTAATTGCCTCATAGGCGTGGAGCAGAAGAGCCGTGGTCTTGTTCTTCAAGAAAGGTGACAACGCTCTCTTGAAGAACTACAGACCGATTATCCTTCTGAGCTGCGTCTACATGCTGTTCTTGAGAGTCATAACGAATAGTCTCGCACGCAGATTCGACGACTTCCAGCCACCCGAACAAGCCAGTTTCCGAAAAGGCTTCAACACCGTACACCACATACATACACTTCGGAAAATTGTACAGAAGTCTGAAGAGTACAATCTGCCACTTTGCCTAGCGTATGTGGACTATGAAAAAGCCTTTGATTCCGTCGAAATTTGAACGGTTCTACAGTCCCTTCAGCGGTGCCAAGTGGACTGTCTGTATATCAAAGAGCTGAAGTGTTTGTACAGGAGGGCTACGATGGCTTTCCGAGTACAGAACTAGAGTACGAAACCTATCCACCTGCAGAGAGGTGTAAGACAGAGTGACGTTATATCCCCGAAACTCTTTACCGCAGCATTGTAAGACGTTTTCAAGCTACTGGACTGTAAAGGATACGGTATTAACATCAATGGCGAGTTGATGTACTCACTTTCGATTTGCCGACGGTATAGTCTTTATGGCAGAATCGCTGCAGGACTTAAGCACTATTGCTCAATGACCTCAATAGTATCTTCCAACGGATAGGTTTTAAGATGAACATGGACAAAACAAAGATCATGTTTAACGTCCATGTCACACCTATGCCCCAAGTTGTTGGGAGTGCTAAGCTCGAAGTTGTTGACGAGTACGTTTACCTGGGACAAAAAGTCCGACTAGGTAAGTCAAACTAAACCGAGAGGTCAATCGACGGATTCACCTCGGCTGGGCAGCGTACGAAAAATTACGACACATCTTCTCGTCAGGTATACCTCAAAACCTTAAAACGAAACTATACAACCAGTGCATGTTGCTAGTGATGACCTATGAAACTGAGACGTGGTCTTTCACTGCTAGCTGTATGAGGAAACTCAAAGTTGCTCAGCGAGCTATGGAGAGGGCTATGCTCGGGTTTTCTCTGCGTGATGAACTCAGAAATGAGGATATCCGCTGTAGAACCGGAGTGACTGGCATAGCCCAACGGATTAGTAAGCTGAAGTGGCAATGGGCATATAGCACGAAGAACCGACAACCGTTGAGGAAAAAATGTTCTCGAGTGGCAGCCTCGTACTGGTAGGCGAAGTGTAGGGTGACCCCCACTAGATGGAGTGACGACCTGGTAAGCCATGATCATGCAAGAAGTCGATGGATGCAGGTGACTTAGGACCGTGCTTGTGGCATATCTTGGGGGAGGCCTATGTTCAGCAGTGGACTTGTGAAGGGCTGTAATGAAAAATTAAAATGAATGAGGCGAGATATTTGCCATATTTGCCACGCTTGGCAGGCAGGTCGGCCACTGCAGTTTTAATTGAACTGTTATCACGGGTAGATGATTTCCTTACATCGCCACTACACGGAAGTCATTAAGCATAATTCATGACTGTCATGAATATGCGCGAGAAATCGATTACAAAACTCAACTGGAAAAACAGTCCACTAGTTGATTCAGTACATATGTACTTGCAGCAGCGTTTTCCTGATAACATAAACTATTAAAAAACTGCGCTTGCAAATCCGCCTGCTAAGCGTGACTGCTTTGGCAAAATTCCACCTATGAGGTAATCTATGGGGGAGGTTCATGTTCAACAGTGGAATTTTATAGGCTATTCAATATTAATATATTATATAGGCATAACCAAACAGTATCAAATGTTGTGAGTGCGGCGCGGCGGCGACGCGACTATTGTAAAAACATCTTTGATGCGATATCAATAAAAGCCGTTGGCGCGTGTATTTTGTACCTTGTACTTACGAATACGTACGAATAGCTGCGAAATTTCTTTGACAGGTCAGTATCCGACCTTTGATGATGCAGACAACAAGACGCCATAAAACTGGGGATGCACTCTTTTTTTATGGTTATTTTCATTCGCTATGTATGTTTATAACTGTAATAGAAATACTTGCGATGGCCTATGTATCCCTAAGCTGCTACTGCCTCACCGCTGTCCGTCACACGATTTTAAAAGAAAATCAATACGACGATCATCATCTCGCAATCCCAATTAATACGGAAAATTCGTTTTTAATTGGCCCTTGCTTATATAGAATGTGATAAATATTTAAAAAACTTTTCTATAATCGTATAATTCCATTTTCTATAAGTATTGTGGATGCAAACAAAACGAAAATTTCTAATACTATCTAAACGTTCGTTTTATTAAACACATTATCCTTGTATGTTTATAAATGACAAAGAAGAACATTACTATTGTTTTATAAATATTTAAACCAGTTGCAAAATCTAGAAGGTAAGATACCAGGCATACCAAATAAATTTAAAGAAAAATTTCTATCCCTAGGGGTGGGAAAAATAGGGATAAAGATTTTAATGTAGATACCTATTTAAGCAAAAGTCAAGTCATTAACTTGAAATTATCATATTCCTCCGATCGTTTAAAAGCTAAAATAATTAGGTAATCTGTTAATAGTTAATATGAAAATTTACATAATAGGTTCTGAAGCGTTTATTAATGTTATTTTTTTACTTTATACGTAATTCTTAGATTTTCAGAAACTACCATTTGATTATTTTTAGTTTTTGAAGTGGGCTTAACGATCTATTAAAAGTTTAATTATTTATTTCAATATTTATACCTTGATTTTACTGTTAAATTATAACATTATCCATGTATTTCTGACACCTGTGCTGAGAAATAGACAAGTAAAATAAAAAAATTAAAGCTATAGCAATGCTAAGCTGAAGGTAGCTAGGAATAACATTGGGACGTCGATTACTTCAGTCCCCTCATGACCACGGATGCTGCAAATTATTTGAAACACTGGATATAAAACAAAAATAAAATTTATTCAATCATCATAGAAAAGATCAAGAAATCATCATAGGAAAAAAAATGAAAATCTATGAGTGTTTGTTTCTTACAAGGAATAAAAAAAATCATAAAAGAGTTGTCAAGCAGGTTATGCGATGGTAAAAACCTTAACGAACTTATAAATACGATGGCTTTTAGGACAGCGTACACAGCATAGATTCGCGGTCCGAAGTAGTCGTTTTATATTTATTGTGGCTTATCGATTAAAGCAATGTGTAATAAAAGTATTATTGTTACTACATTGTTAGTAGTTTTCTGCACATCGGTTATAGAATCAGGTAACAATAATATTTTTTAAACAAAATAATTTTTCTCCTTAACACATTTCCCGAGTAAATCATCGATTTTGTGTAATTTAATTTTTTTATTTTAGTTAAAATGTTTTTATACATGAATGTTGGAATGAGATAAATTATATAATAATTAATTATTATAAATATTAGTGTTATATATATATTGCTATTATACATTACGCATTAATAAGCTAACATATAAAAACAGTTTTTTGTTATTTGTAAAAGAATATTGTACAAAGATTTAGGTTTATTGTAATAATAAATTTTAGTTTTATTTTAACTCACAGTAAATATTATCAAATTCCTTTATTTTTTTACGTTTATTTAGTATCTGATATTATGATAAATTGTTATAATTTACGAAGTTTTAAGAAGAGGGCTCCTTTTCTGTTACTACTCGGGATACATTATGACGAAATAATTGCGTTACATAACAGTACACCTTTATTTTTACTTTTCTTCAAACGGATTTCGGTTAGTATTGCAAGTTATTTAAAAATGCTTTTCAACGTTACTAGGATTTTTCTTACCTGACATTTCAAACAAAATTCCAAGAAAACATCCAGATTTATTTGTAGGCCATAAAAATACTTTTTCCGTGCAGCATTCGAACACGCGGCCCTTAGCGCTGTAACTCATTGCTAAGCCACTGTGCCTCGGAGCCGTAATTATGCAATTATACAGGCTCTCTTTGGATGATGCTTTAGCGGAGCTGTGTTGTGACATTTTCCTCTTCGATACCGACCACAGATTTGAGTTTCCAATTGTTTCACGAGCTATGAACTGCTCAAGAGATTTTAAAAGTTGACCTCCGTTGAAGCTTCGTGACGGAGTGGCCAAGCCAGTAAGTCAACGAGTTACAGCGCTGAGTTCGATTTCCGCACATAACAAATATTTGCATGGCCTACAATAAATTAATTTATTAAGTTGATCCAAATACTGTAAATGAGATATGAAAAAAAATCAAAAAAAAGCTAATAACCGTTTGTTTTCGCTGAGATTCGAACCAAGAACCTGTGATTTAGTAGATAGCTACACGGGCCCAGGCCAGCAATCACGACGGAAAATACACAATTACTAATAGAGCATTTTTACTTCGATGAGGAAGACGATTACGTACCCAGAATTACAATTTTATTTTTAATAAATGAATTGTTATCAGTAAGATATTATTGTCTATCCCTCTTTTAAATTCCCTTTACCGTCACCACACAAGACCTACACCAAAACAGCAGACAGGCAGATCTCAAGACAGAAAAGAATTCTACCTCCCAATAAAGACTCTTTTTCATCATCATAATCATCATTACAGCTCTTCACAAGTCCACTTCTGAACATGGGCCTCCTTAAGGAATGCCGCAAATCACAGTCCTGAGCCACCTGCATCCATTGACTTCCTGCATGTCTTACCACGCCGTCAATCCATCTAATAGAGGGCCGCCCTATTTTCACGCAGTGCTTTTTTTTAAGAAGATACATGTTGCCCTAAATTTCAACTTTGGGTGGTTACAAGTTGATAGGCTAGGTTATAACAGTTCTGGTAAAATAAGAAAACTACACCATTTCACTTGGTTAAGTGCTAATTGGAATATTTTTGTAAATATTGAAAATATTTGACCCATACATATTAATTAGATACTGTTGTCACAAATTTCCCAATTTTAAAGTGTTCTTTTTTTCTCTAAATAACTATGTCTTGATTTCAGTCACAAATCAAATATTGAAATACTTCTTGACGTATGTTTCAATGTTCTCATGTTTTTCCCCCATTTTAGTATATCATTCTTAAAGGGCTGAATTACCACGTGGTGGTAGAGGTGTATAATAATCCATCACCGTCTCTCATTCAGTAAGTACCATAAGAGGTGACTCAGTGAAAAGAGGTGACTTAGATTTACGCACTAATGAAATGGAGAGTGACGAAATGATTTTTTAACTTAAATATACATTTTACAGTGTCGTTCATTAAGAAGTGTAAGTCTGACGATTCAAAATGTATTAAAGAGTCCGCGCAAGCAGCTATTCCGACCTTTGCTTCTGGTCTGCCTGAATATGGAGTCAAATCGTTGGATCCTTTTACATTCGAGAAGATTGATGCCAGCACAAGCAGCTTAGAGCTTATACTGACCGATATCACGGTAAAAGGCCTTAAAAACTGTATAGCAAAGAAAATCAAGTAAGTTCTGCTATTTCACAAAAATTTTCAAAATTCCTGAATTAATAAAAAATGTTTTTCGAACTGTTTATTGAGATGTGATAAAACAGTTTCTTTGAAATATTAGAAAATAGCTTCCAATTAACTAAAACGCAAAAAGCTACTGCTGAACAAAGAGTAGCCCTTAGATTGCCGTAGAAATCGGAAATTTGGTTTGGTTGTCACGCTTAACGGGAAGGAAAGTTAAGAAGTTACGCTGACCGCAACCTGGTTTATTTCCCACTGTCAATCCGCGTGATTATATGTCATAGTGGATTATTTTAAACCACCGCAACTTGACCCTATATTACGAATAAATCGAATACAACAAAATTTGACCAAGTGGTGTGTAGTTTATATTATTGTTTATCACATACAATAAACAATTTAAACCAAGTAACTTTTTTCGCTTTTTATTTGTTTTTACACCTTTGGCCGATATGTTGCGGCTAAACTTAAGATTAGACGACTTATCTTGAAAAAAAAAGGTAACATAAAACTACGCTCAAAACTAAATCTAAATTTAGCCGGTTACTCTTATGAATGAACCGCATGAATTACACTAACATTTTCCGTAAGATATATGTTGCTAAGGTAATGTTATTAGGTAAAACTACGCTAAAATATGACTGTCTCCTAATGTCTTCCGTAAAAGCCTTATGGCTACGTATACATCGCTAGATATTAAATTCTGAAGTTCATAGTTGGTCTCTCATATTTTAATAATGTATTATAAATTAGTTATAATTGTCTTACTTTTAAACTTTTGCAGACGTGATAAGACCAAATCTAAACTTTTCATCAAATTGTTATGCTCAGCCGATTTGGATGGTCAATATAAGATGAAAGGACATCTTCTTTTTCTTTCACTTGAAGGCAATGATGCAGTCCACGTAAAGCTAAGTACGTAAATGTTTAATTTTTAGTTTGAAATTACAAAAGTCATAGATTTTTCACCAGCATGCATAATATTACATAAATTTCTTATAAGAATCCACATACTAAAAAAATATATAAAAATATTAACGTGTAGTATGTTATTTCATCTTAAGAACTTCAAACACATACACACACATTTTCTCAAATATATGAGTACTTAAAGTTCAGTTCAAATAGTGGTATATTATTAGGTTTATCCATTTTGTTCAGTCCCAAGTGCCTTAATTTTTATTATCTCGTAATTGACATAACTTGGCAAGGTCGGCAATTGCACTACATTTTTCATAACACCCTTTTTCACGGTTTCCTTTAATTTATCGTAAGTTAAAGTCAGTCTTATAGAAATAACTAACCATAAGTTTTAGTAAAGTGCTAGCTATCGAATTTAAAATATTCGTATTAATTAAACAAACACCTGCGTGATTTTTATCGTCTTTTCGTTCAATTTATGAAATATTGAAAATAATTAATCGATTGAATTCAAATTTATATAAACCGGTTTAAAAACAACATTTTGTATTTTAACGAAATTTTCACGACTCAAAATTTTTTAAATTATATTGCAGGACAAGCTGAAATCAACGTAGAAGTAGATTTAGAAGCACAAGACAACAAGTGGAATATCAAGCACTGGCAGCATTCATTTAATCTAAAAGGCAAATCCGAAGTAATTTTTGAAAATCTGTTTAGTGGCAACAAAGATTTGGGTTCGTACTTCATAATTATAGTGTAATGTAATCATCTGGTTTGCATTTGTTCATGGGCAGCGGTTGTCACTTACTATCAGGTGATTTCGTTTGCTCATCGCTCTTATGTAAAAATGCTTGTGTTCTATTAGATTTATTATTGTGATATGCTTGTGTTTTATCAGATTTATTATTGTGATATTTAAAAGCTTTTTATAATATTGCTTGACGATATTTGATTATTATTTTATTAATAAGTGATTATTATAATATAGAAGTACGCGTGACAAATGTACACGCAGTACGACTATAAAGTAGTAAGTGAATCTCGTACAAATTACCTTACCTTAAACAACAACAACTCACCTTGAATAAAAATAAAAATGCATATACATTGCTTCCCCTGAGGACTAAGATAGAATATACTAAAAACTAAATGTGCCTCCGGTTTTTGACACTTACCATACGAAACACATAGGGTTATGCTGCTGCTTCACGCTGGTATTCTGTGCGATCGTAGCCCTTTCATTAGGCCTTTTAATTATAGCTAACGCTACACTGCAGCATATTAACGCTACAATGTAACTCTGCCACGATAAAACCGCAAAATACGCCCAATAGTTTGACCAACAATAATATTTATTTTTTGCATATTTATATTTATGTAACAACGAAAAATATAAAATTACCCTCTAGGATGACTTCTATCGAACTTCTTTCGTCACATATACATAAACTATGACGCTTAATGGCATAATGAACATCAGACCAAATTTCAATTAAAATCAATATTGTGTAGTTTTATTTTAAGTGAAAAAAATCGAACGTGCAATAATTTAAAATTAATTAACAAATTAATTGTGAACTATGCAAGTTCTTATCGCAAGTTGGGAAGATCGCAACTAACTCTCTGAAGGATATGGGTCTCTTTATATTTTATATATATTTTATTTTAATAGGGGATAAAATAATCATATAAGTTCAGTTCAAAGGATCTAATATAAAACTCTCTCAGTACGGTCCAATTTATTTACTAACAAGTTTAGTAACAAGCACACCTTGTATTTTTCCTCGATTAACTAAAGCTCAAAATTAATCTAATCTGCTTATTACTTTTTTTGCAGCCGGCGCAGCTCAAGAAGTTATAGCCCAAAGTGGAAACGATATAATTTATGAAGTGGGTCCTCCAGTAATAAAAGCCGTCATTGACCAAGTTGTTAAAACGATCAGTAATTTCTTCCACGCTGTACCTGCAGATGAACTATCCATAGATTAATTTTTTTTTAAATTTAGATATGTTTATTAAAAGTTACTTGATTGGGAAGTTACAATGTTTTATTTTGTTTTGCTTATTTCTATATTAAATTGTGACTGATAACGTCATTTTTCTTACTTTTAATATTGAAATTAACTACAGGTAGATATAGGCATTTACAAAGTGATTGACGAGCTATAAATGTTAGTGTTATCTTATAGTCAACGAACAGGCACGACAAATACTAAGTTTCAGAGCTTTCTTCCTGCCCAGGAGTTCGTCTGGTTCGGATAAACTTACCTACATCGTCGCCGAATATTAGTGTGTGCATTGCTGTGATCTGATCTGAAAGGTACAGAGAGCTCAGTATGATTACAGGCTGCGAGGCATTTTCATCTTGGCCATTAGAGATGACCACGATCCTAAGGCCATCTTTATTTAAAGTTGATTGCTGTTATCCATAGGCTGCAGTGGATACAATCGAGTGGACAGTAATTTCGTTTGTCACTTCATTTTTATAGAAAAAATTATAAGCGGATTGTTTTGCTGGACTGAATTTATAAGTGTAACGCGTTTTTAGATACATTTACACGGAGTATATCCCTATTAGTTAAAGAAAGGTTGAATATATTTTGAAATAAAGAAAAGAAACTCTTCTATTAAATTAGAAGTAGCAAGTCCCGTATAATAATAATTTAGAACAAGATGAAACTTGACTTTCCGAGCAATATGAACTAGTGGTTGAATATTTTGTGTATATATTTTACGAAATCAATAGGTGAATTATATACTGGATGACCTTTTTTACCGTCTGGAAAAAAATTAGATGTAACATGTGAACGGAGTAGAAGCCTATGGCACTGATATTTTACAAAAAATGAAAACAAAAATCTTGAATTAAATAAACAAATTAATTAAAATCTATCGAATTTCAAATCATATCCACCCAAGCCTGTGACGCTGCGAAGTAACCAGATACGGCACATACATACCCCTCAGCAAATTATACAGAAGACCGAAGAATACAATTTGCCACTTTGCTTTGCGTATGTGGACTATGATAAAGCTTTTGATTCTGTCGAAATTTGGGCGATGTTAAAGTCCCTTCTACGGTGCCAATGACGAATACTACAATAATAATAATAAGCTGAACTAATTATTCTCATTGCATTTTTTTTTTTGTTTCACAAATTACTAGGAACGAATTTGGAGTGAAACTCATTGCACAAACTATATAATTGCGTGAACTAGCGAAAAAACAATGTCTGTAAATGCCAGCACATACACACCCAAATATATATATATATATATATATATATATATATATATATATATATATATATATATATATATAATGGTACTTTTTGTATTATTTATGGTATTGAAATTAGACGAGCTCTAATTACTTTCGTTGTTTTTAGATGTGTAGAAAACGTTTATGCCAACCATGTGTTTCAAATATTCATGACGGTGTTGACGTTTTTATTCCTTTAACTCTCTGTGTGACGATTCAAAATAATAGTTCTTTTATGGTTTAATATAATACCAACGCCGAGTGTTTAGGCTCTGATGACAGTTTGATGTTGAGATAACAATTTATAGGACGCGTTTTAAATATCAGATTTAAAAAATGTTAATGCTGGTAACTAATGTCATATTTTTTCCAATTTATATCTTCCCTTAATAACTTTATTGCATTAGTTATTCGTATTGAATTACAAATAATACGAATAGCATTTTAAGCCTTTATTTTGCTATAATACTTATTTGATCCACAAAACTTCTGTTATATAGAAATACATTACCTAGTCTTGTTGTAGTTGTGACATAATATGTGTAATTTTATATTCTATTTAAAACTCGACAATATCCAAGAAGGTATAATAAAATGTTATAATAACATTTAAAATAATGGCGTAATCAGAGTGGAATAATCCTATATCGGGCAGATTATAACCTGCATTACCTGTAAAGAATAACAGTTGTAATTTCAATCATGTTGAACGTTAATTAAGTTTTAATCGCTACAAATAACAAACAAGAAACTCATGAAAATACAACTGTTTCCACGCGACCTACCTTACCTATGTTTCAAGTAATAAACTTATATGATAAACTAGCGACCCGCCCTGCCTTTGCCTGGTTTCTATTATGTGGTGTTATTTAGATTTAATACAGTCAAAGATTTATTATTTTATCAATTTTTCATTCACAAAAAAATTGGTTGAACCTACAGCATTTTTAGAACTTCCCACTAATTTCTAATCTAAAGCGCTCCAAATTTCACCAAAATATGACGTTGAATATAAAATATCGGAGTAATTTAAAAATATTATTTTTTTAAAATATTTCGTTAACGATATCTCACGAACGAATCGACCGATTTTGACCGGAACGGTGGCGATCGACGTGGTTTTTCAGGGTTAAAAGCTGATTGGTCTTTGGAATCGATCAGTAAAGCCGTTTAACACACACACACACACACACACGCACACACACACACACACACACACACACACACACACACACATCATCGAAAAATTGTCAGGTTAGCTTCCTGTGACCTCTAAACGTCAAGATTTGATGAAATCATAAAAAAAAAAACAATTTTGCGGAAAACGGGATAAAAATAATAACTTCCCGATTTTTGAATATTTCACGAAAGATTGCTTCATTTTCTTAGCGGGAAGTTTAAAATTATCATTTCCGGATAAAATATAGCCTAGATCACTCTTGGCATTGCTTTCTATCTGTTCCGGGAGTTTCATTACAATCGGTTCTGCTATTCCGAATATTAGCCCGCACAGGCGGGCAAACAGACATCAAAAACAAAAAAAAATTGTATAATAAGGCAGACATTTCGGAAAAACTCTATAATTTTATTTATGTGTTCTTTACACCAATAATGGTAAAGTCTTCCGTCCAATCACAACCTCACCGGACATGCGATATTTTCAACAGCGATGATATATCTCCTTCCCTTGTTTCTTCATCAGTGCGTCATACTTGGTTTCTCCGGTTGTACGGTGGACTTTCCTTAACTTTTACTCTAGGGGATGTCAATCGCAGCAACAGACGTTTCCGTATTTTACGTCTGGCTTAAAAGAGATGGGTATACCCTCCATCTACCGGAATGCACATTGCGGCAATACTTCCGATACCATCCACACCATCTGGATGCTTGGCGGTTCACTACTATACATTTCACTAGGAGTTTTCTTCCGCTCATGCCTCTCTGTGGAATAGTTTACTAGCGGTGAATTTTCCGGACTGATACGACTTAGAGCAACTCACTTGCAATTCCTCTGGTGTTGCAGTTGTTCTTGTACGACGATAGTCATTTACCATCAGGTGAGCCGTATGCTAGTTTGCCGTTTGCCCCTTCTCCTATAAAAAGGCACAAGAGTTTTCTGGCATTTAAAAGATTTGCGTCTTACAACACCCACGGGACGTTACTAACCCAACCACCACACTGGACATATTATCGAGTGAAAAGTATAGGTAACTCACTTAGTAACTCGATAAAATCAGAAATACTCCTGAGTATATTTATTACCTGAGACCATGTGAATCGTAACCAGATAATCAAACACAAAAATCAACAATTTGCGTTTTGGTATAAACGTCGTCTCCAGTTGTAATTTATCACCATAGGCACACAAGGCAAACAAGGTCGTCAAGTTATATACTAATAAATACGCAATAATGACGAATGTATATTTGCAGTAATAAAAGAAACGCATATCAAAAGACTTTTAAAGTTGTTTATATCAGGTACTACGATATGTGTTGTGTTTAACATATCTGAGCATTTCTAAAGAAGTTTTACATTTCCAGTTACCTAACCTGCTTTCGTTATTTTCATTGTTTACTCTAATACTAATAATTCACTCATACAACCTATACTAGCTCTTTCCTTTTCTTTCGCAGTTTTTGGATTATTTATTGTAGATACCTTTTATTCATTAAAACACGCTTTCAAAATATTGCTTCCATTTCTCCAAATATATTAGCCTTCAATACTTAAGTTCCAAAGACAGGGGTAACCGTCTTGATTTAAACGATAACAATAAGTAACATTGTTTAGTATGATATTTCCCTAGTTGACTGCGTTTCCCTTGTTCTTGTTCCCTTGTTGACTCGTTGGTCTAATGGTTGTAGTAGAGCGACTGCTGATCATGAAGTCCTGGGTTCGAATCCCGAGTCGGGCCAAATAATCAAATATTGAATTTTTCCGTCAAGAAATTCTCAGTAGCTGCCCGGAGTCAGGAAGTTGGCGGTGTCTCACTCCCGTGCTTCGGAAAGCACGTAAAGTCGTTGCTCCTGCGCCTGATCTCTCTCCGGTCGTCTCGGTTTACCATCCCATCGGACTATCAGAGTGTGGGAAAAGAGGCACTACAATCCTATTCTGCACCGATGGCTAGTCTGCGTTGAAGCTGGCCGCCATGACCGAAATTCGGTTCTGGAGGACATTATTATTTCTCTTGTAATTAACTCTGCATTCCTAATTCTGTTACGTGGTTAATAAAAATTCGGAAGTAATTAAAGGCAAAGGTAGGGAGATATACAATTTCAAAATCGTTTCTTGAATTGTATCGGATATTCACACAAGGTAGTAATTGATAGAAATCACACATACTCGTACATTAACGTATCACAGAAACTCACCCCAAGTATATGAAGCTCAGGATTTATAAAGGATGAAGTATTACTTGGGGCGTTACTAACTGCCAATCAATAACGAAACAATTTGTCTGTCAGGGCCGATACCAACGATGTAATGACTGATATGTTCGAAAACTATTTTATCGATTGAGTTCCGTACATTCGGATAGTATGTGTTTCTTAAGTAATAGACAAATAAAACTAGTTGTAGACTAAATTTTAATAAAATATTACTTATTAAACAACACATTATATTCTGCTTCAAGTGAAAAATGTAGATAATAAATGTAATATAAAAGGTAATTAAAAATTATTTGATTATTGTTTTTCTTGATTAATTGAAATACTTTTAGTTA